CTTCCAGGCTGATCTGGCTGCATCTCACAAGCGTCTGAGCTACGAAGTTCAGCGTCTCAGTGCGGAGAATGAAGGGCTACGTGGTGCTTGTTCCCAGGATCCCTGCCAGACCATGGATGATGCCAACATGAGCTTGCCTAGCACTGTTCCGGTAATTCTGATCTGCCTTTTCCTTGTGTGGGGACGAGCTGTGAGACTGGTGGATGTTGGGGTGAGGCTGGTCAAAATCACATCATGATACATACATAGGTTTGTTTCCACCATCTTCCTTCAGGAGCTTCAAGCTTTGGTGCATCAGCTGAGGCAAGACTCTGCCTCCCAGCTCCGGGCTGCAGAGCACCAGGCTGAGCGCCTGCGAATCGAAATTGTGTCCCTGAGAGAGCGGCTGGATGAAGAAGCAGCATCTCAGTCAAGACTGCAGGGGGCACTTGAGAGAGAACAAGAGGATAGAGGTGGGCAGGGGAACAGTGGCCTTGTCTGTTGGGAGGGAAGGAAATGAACTGCAGGAATTGGAATGGGCTGCCTTACACCTCCCCCGCCACCCAAAAGCAAAGCCCTAGTAGTCTGTGCTTTTAGAACAAAGGTAGGGAGCCTCAACTTGAGGACTACATTCAGTGTTAGAGAAATTCTTAGTAGCTGCATGCCAGGGATGAACAGGCCCAATGGCAAAAGGATGGGACCAAACGTATTTTTTTGAGCACCAACCCCCTGCTATCAGGAACTAAACCATGGGTGAGTCCTTTTAGAAGGGGGAAAAAGCCATACAGAAGCTGAAAGTCATGGGGAGATGGGCCTGGCTACCAGTGGAACCTGAGCGCTAGATTGGAGCTCTAACAATTCAGCTCTGGGGCCTGAGATTTCCCACAGTTGATTTAGAACAGTTATTCCTAAATCTTTATCCTCCAGGAGTTTTGGACCAACTCCCACAAGCCTTAACCAGCTTGGCCAGTAGTCAGGAATACTGGGAGCTAAAGTCCAAAACATCTGGAGGACCAAAGGTTGGGAATCATTGATTTAGAAGTTTGATATAGGAGGTTAAGGATCTGAAATATCTTTCTAGTGTAAGTAATTTTATTTATGTCCCTCTTTTTGTCTTCTCCTTTTTCTCCTGCTTGTGTCTGGAAGAGCTTTTGCAGGGTAAGTTGTTCTCTGCTGTCCTGTTGGTGTATATTTCTACATTTGGAGGCTGAAGGCTGCCATCATGGACTGAGCCTCTTCTCCTTCTCAATTTCCAGCCTCCCTGAACAGTATCCAGAGTGAGATGGAGAGAATGCAGCAAAACCAGGAGGGAATGGATAAAACCCAGGTTAGTTTGAGTATCTCTTTATTCCCCCCTCCAGAGAGTGGCATCACAGGGCGATGCAGGGGGTGCAGAACACACCAGGTGACACCCCAGAGGAGGGGTGACACCCAGTTGGGCCCTCCTCCCCCTTCGCGGGCAGGCAGGGCAAACACTCTCCTTTCCCAGCTGCTCCACTACCAGGCTTTCTCACTGGGAAGAAAAAGGACCAGGGCCTAGGATGGCTACCTTGTGTTCAGTGGCCACAAAGAAACAGATCTCAGAAGGAAAATGCCTGAGTTGCTCCATTCTTCCTCAGAATCATCAGAGACCACCACAAATGCTTAGAAACATTACTCTTTGGGCTACAGCTCCCAGATTCTCTAGGCTTTTTATATGGCTTTTCCATCACTCTCCAAAGGGGATGGGGAGGTACATAGATATTTAATTTATAGTATCTGGGATCGCCAGGCCAGCATTCCAGGTGTTCTGCCAAATATGTTGGCAAGAACACAGACCATCTGGAAAGGTGCTTACAAAGAGAGCCAAAACTATTTTCTAACCAATTACGGTCAGTTAAAATACAAGTTTGAATATAGAATTGATGTAGTAATTTTCCAAATGAAAACTGTATTCAGTTTAAGGACTTCAGACAATAGGATGCAAATCAACTGCTTTAATTTAAGGCAACTTATTTTTAAGTTTTTCAATTTAGAATGCTTTTTAAGAATTTTGTCCTTCAGTACTGGATTTTAAAAATTTGAACTCTTGGGAGCTTGGATTCCGATATGAATGCCTTAAATTTTAAAGTTGCACTGTATGCCTCTTAACAGCTAACATAAGCATTTCTCCAACATGGTACACTCCAGATGTTTTGGACTGCAACTCCCATCAGTAATAATGGGAGTTGCAGTCCGAAACATCCAGAGGGCATCACATCAGGGGGAAATGACCTCTGTTGTCTCAGGAAAGGCCTGCTTTACAATTTGAACTGTGCTTTGTGCTAGAGACATTTTGGGACTCTAAAATGACTCCCAAGAGATGGAGCTGAGATGGAAAGGAGGAATCATGCTGAATAAGAAAGTTCATATTTAACTCAAAGAAGAGGTAAAAAGAAAGCCCTCTATAAATCTAAATCAGATGTTTTCAGAACCGGCAAAGGTTTTTTGGGTAGCTTTGTTCAGCTTGTCAGCACAAGACAGCTGTAGTATTACCTTCAACTGTGGTTAGGAAAATTTATCCCCAGGTGACCACAGCACATGGCTCTTAATCACCTGAGTTTGAGAAAGTTTTGGGGCTACAACTCCAGGAATCCCCTGTTTAGGTTGGTTACTATGCTATGGTAAGACAAATCCTACTCAACTGTCCTACTCAAATCTCAAGTTTGGTATCACTCCCAATCTCTGCCAATATAACACTGTTTTGCTTTTTGAGAATGAAGATTGAAAAATCTTTATCACATTTTTCTTTGCCTTTTGAAGAATGAAACAGTATGCTGCACTGACCATAGAAGGGTTGTGTGTATTTGCTATTGCAACAAGGTATACAGGATCTAGCATCCTCAGAATCTGAGTTTTAAGCTCTTTTAATTTTCTTGTCCTTAAGCACAAGAAGATGAGCTTGAAAAGGTGCAAGCAATGTCCACTGAAATATGGATGAGTAACAACTTGGTGTAGCTCTTCATCTGTCCTCAAAGCACCTCATTCTGCAGTGTAGTCCTACCACTATAGTCCTCTATGGCTCATTGAAGTGGAAGAGGCATGTCTCATTAATTCTGGTAATAAACATGATTGAAAGCATTCTAGAGTTTAAAAGAATGGACAAGTGCCTGAGTTTTTTTGCATTGGAACAAGAGCAGTAGTATGACATGATGTTTGTAACCCATTGTGGTGGGAGTTAGAAAGGTGGGGATGCATTGGACCTTCTTGCTGTGGCTGAGGAAGGCATGTGCTGCTCTTTCCAGATGTATGTTTCTGATAGGTCCAAAACACACTGCAGAAATAATCCAGTTTGAGACTGCTTTAACTGCCCTCAGTGCTAGGGAATCCTGGGAATTGTAGTTTATTGTGGCACCAGAGTTCTCTGACAGAGAAGGCTAAATGACTCATAAAACTACAGTTCTCAGAGTTCCCCAGCATTGAGCCAGGGCAGTTAAAGCAGTCTCAAACTGGATCATTTCTGCAACGTGTTCTGTACTGTAGAGGATGATAAAGCTCCTTGGAATGGGGGTAATTTCTGGCCCTGCTGGTTGAGGTTTTCTAGAAACTGTAGTCCACAAAGGAATTCTGCCAGTCTCTGGTTATGCACTCATGGGATGTAGAAAAGAAAGATGATTTTATTCTTGAAAATAGCCCAATGTCTTTTCCCCTGAAAATATTATGGCCTTCTTCAGGAGGTTAAAAGTGTAAAATTGACCTAGGAGTATTGTAAAAAGAGTGTCTCCAAAGCTTATGCCTGGCAACTGATAGGTATAAGCTTTGGAGAGACACACTTTAAAATTCCTGCAGGTTGATTTTAAAGTTGTAATCTCCTGAAGAGGGTCATAAAAATATTTTCAGGTCGAAATGCTTTGGGTTATTTTCAAGAATAAAATCATCTTTCTTTTCTACATCCTGAGACTTTTTTTCTTTTCTACACCACATCCATTGGATGTTTCCAGACCTCTTTGCACTCATGGGGGCTCAGAGTTCACTGTAGGCTCACTGTCCTTTGCTTCCTTCTTTGTACCACAGGCACAGACTGATGCTCCCTCTCTGGGAGAATCCAGCAACCTTCAGGCGAGGTCAGAACCTTAGACTGAGAATGGGGAGGCCAGGTCTGCCTTTCCTCCCCACCCCAGCACTGTGGGACTCTCAGGGAAACTCTGGTCCATCAGGCACCAAATGGGGTCATCTCTGTTCTGCAGAAGCCTGTCCAGGTCCCCCGTCTCTGCTTGAGTTAGGAGAGCAATAAACTCTGGAGGTAGGATGACTGGGATCTCCCATTCCTCCTTTTCTGTATACTGACTGACACTGGAGCTTCTAGAGCACAATAAAGGACAATTTTGTACTTTCCTTGTCTGTGTCTCTTTCTTTCTTGGGTTGAATAAATAGACGGTGAAGTGATGTAGTAGTTTTAGCACATAGCTTTATTTCCTGGGTAAAAAAAACAACAACACTTCAAAGTGGTTACCAAGTTTAATTTTCTGCTTGTATCCTGGATCATAAAGAGATATCTTAGAGTTACACTCATAAAAGTGCTTAGAAAACCACAGAGTTCTGGGTTGGTCTCTTTTCATATAGGTAAACTGAGAGGGGTGGGGAGATACTTGAACATCTGATAAAAACAGAAAGTTGCTCATGGCTATGGGAGACCTCCAGGTCTCAACCTGTTATCAACAGCTGTGCTCAGCTTTTGTAAATTCAGGGAGGGGGCTTCCTTGATTGAGTCTGTCCACCTGTACAAACAACAACAAAGACACAGAGGATGCTTGAACTGATAAAAATGGAAATCTGCTAATGGCTATGATATGTTTTGGGAGGCAATGGGTTTTTACTTTATCCCTTGGTTTATTTATGGGGCACACTTTACACAGTGCATTGGAAATCAGCAGTGGAAACTTGGTTAAAAAGAACAGCACAACTTTATAACAGCACCACTGTCTTCTAGGGGGGCAGTAGTGTTTGTAGCAAAAAGGACAAACAGCACTGTAGCTGTTCCTTGGTCACTCAGTGGGTCTTTATGGCTGAGCAGGGATTTGACCCCTGGTCTCCAGAGTTGTAACCCAATATTCAAACCACTACACCACACTGGCTCTCCATAACTTGCTATGTCCTTAAAATGATGCATGCAGAACTGAATACTATTTAGATGAGGTCTGAGTAGCACAGAATATAATTAGACTATTCCTTCCCTTGACTTAGAAACTATAGATCTATTAATGCAGGATAAAATGCTATTTCCCTTTTTTCCTGCAGCATCACACTGCTAGGTCATGTTCAACAATAATCCCAAAGTCCTTAGCATGTGCATTATTGCTAAGCAAAGTAGCCCCCATCCTATACTTGTGCATTTTGTTTTTGTGGCCTAAATGTAGAATTTTGTGTTTCTTTTGAATTTCATTCTATAGTTTCAGTCTAGTTTTCTAGTTTATTGAGGTCCTTTTGAATTCTCTTCCTAATCATCCAAAGTGTTAACTACCCTTGCAAATTTGATAAGGATTCCCTTCTGCCACCTCCACCTAAGTCACTGATAAAAGGGTCTAAGAGTGATGGTCCTAGGAAAGAACCAAGTAGCACTCTGCTTGAGACTTCTGTCTGAAGCACAGCCATTGAACAGTCTTTGAACACAGTTTTCCAAACAATTATGGATCCATCTGATAGTGTTTTTCACTTATTCCAAATGTCATCAACTTACGTGCTAATCAAAATATCATTGGAGATTTTAATCAAATGTTTTGTTGAAATCCAAATAAATGACATCTACATCATTCCCACCATCTACTAAACTGCTAAAAAAAGAAACAAGATTATTTGGCAGGATTTGTTCTTGATGAACTCAAGCTGACTGTATTGTCATTAGATCACTACTGTCATCCATATACTTGCAAATAGACCTCCTTTCTAATATTTTCCCCTGGTACTGAGGTCAGGCTGAATGATTTGCAGTTCCTAGATTTTATTTTTGTCCTTTTTGAAGAGAGGGACACTGTTTGCTCTGCTACAGTCATCAGACACCTCAGCCATTCTTCATGATTTCTAAAAATTGACAAGTAGCCTAAAGTGTAAATAAGCATGTTCCTTCAGTACTTCAAGTCTGGCACTGAAGATCTGAATGCATTTAGGGTAATTAGATGCTTCCTGTCTATCTCCTTATCAGTTTTGATTTGAAATTCAGATCCCTTATCAAGGTCTTTGCAAATGCATGGATGCACATAGTCCTCTTTTTTGGAGGGGAGAGGAACTGAAATAAAATAAAATAGATATTGAGGAGTGTGATCTGTTGGCATTTTACTATCCTTACTGAGCAGCAACCTGTTTCTTTTATCATTCTCTTGCTTCAAACAAATTTCCTCCTCTGTTCCAATGCAAAAACGCTTGTGACATTTTTAAAAGTGTGGGAGAATATTTCACTTTCTCAGAATACTCTTCTCAGTGACCTTAAAGTAGTAATTGTGGAACAAAGAGATTAGAATGAGTTACAATATATTAGCAAATTCCTGCCTTATCGCCAAAAATTTGCATCAAGACAATAGATACATACATTAGTTGATTGGCTTATTTAATCATGTTAAGATGGTGATGTAATCACTATTGGTACTATGCCTCTGGGGACCAGGATTCGATTCTCAGCTTGGCCATGGAACCCCCTGGCTGACCTTGGGCATGTCGCATGCTCTCAGCCTCAAGGGAGGCAATAGCAAGCCCCCTCTGAACAAATCTTGCCAAGAAACCACCATTATAGGTTTACCTTAGGGTTGCTATAAATTGGAAACAAGCTGAAGACACACAACAACAAACTTTATGCATTTAATTTCCTTCTAGCATCACTGTCAACAATCCCACTCCCAACTTATTCATCCCTTCAAAACTTTATGCCATCATAAATATGTTAGACTTTAAGGTACCATAGGATACTTTGTTACTCTAGGCATCTGGTTTTCACTGTAGAGATGTGAGAGTTGGAGTAACATCACTCTTCTGTCTATAGAAAATATGTGGCCAGTTCAGAAGTGTCTGCTATTTCTCTTGCCATATTGTAACTCTCTACTTCTAATAGAGTGTAACTAATCCAGGGGTAGCCGTGTTGGCCATATAGCAAAGTACAGTATCATCCAAAATCCACAAAATGGTGATACCTTTATTGGATCCACCAAAATGCACATTGCACATGTTGCAAGCCGTTGAAGCTCCACCGGCTTCTTCATCAGGCAAAGGTGTTAAAAATGTTACAGGAGAAAGAAGAAAAAAATACTGATGATGTTACTCATAGTCCTGCATTTGGTCAAGATGTTGCAGTTGTATTCCTTAGTTCAGATTGTATGGAAAGGTATTCATTCAGGTGGGCTGCTCCTCCTAGCCATGTGGGTGCTGGGAGATTCAGTCTAAGAAACAAACTTGAAAATCCATTTGCAAAATAAAAGCTACTGGCTTTGACATTCACTTTGTCTCAACTTCTTTGTGAAGTCACATGCCCCTTTGTTAGGAAGAGAAAAGTGAATTTCTCCATGCTTTGTATCAGGAAAAATTTTAGGTGTTGTTAAGGTAACAACTTTCTTTCTCCTGTGTCATTTTAAAACAAATTTGCCTGATGAAGAAGCCAGTGGAGTTCTGAAATCTTGTAACATGTATATTTAATTTGAAAGTATAGAAAGTGAGTAGAGGGTAAGTGTAAATAAGTTAGTTAGGAAAAGAGGGGAAAGAATTGAAAAAGTTAAAGGGAAGAACAAAGGGATCTTGGATAGTGAGAGTTGGAGGAGAGGGAAGGTCAAAGAAGGGAAAAGAGAGGAGAGATAGAGGAAGGAAAGTGAGAGTGAATAAAAATAAAGGAAGGAAAGGGAAGAATTTTATGGAAGGAAAGAATGATAGTATAACAGAAGTAAATTAAGAATTAAGTAAAAACAAGTGGTAGGTGTTTTTTTTTTCCTTTCTTTGTTAGTTGGTCAGTTGTCTTGTAAATGTGTATGCTAATGTATGTAATTATAGGTTAATGTGTTAGCGTTTGTATATGTTGAATGTATATGCGAATATAAGACTAATAAAAATATATTAACACAAGAAATCAAGCTTGTAACATGTATAATGTGCATTTTTGGTTTGCCCCATAAAGGTATCACTGTTTTGTGGATTTTGGATGCGAGTGTATGCAAGTGTAACCAACTCAGTCCCATGTAAGGCCTAAGTGAAAAAGAACAGGAGCAGCTGCCTTTGAGGGCTGAGGAGAAAGTCATAATAGTTATACTATTATGAGGTCTGTATTTGAACCACAACTACACTGTAGTTCTGGTTTTCACTGTTGTTTTCTATGGGCAACTGTATCTCTCATCCAGAAGCATTTTTGCTAGGACTACAGCTCCCAGAATCCTCAGCCAATGTTGCTAATTCTGGCAGGAGGAAAGGGGGAGTTGTAGTCCCAAAAAGTAACTTTTCTAAATTGATCTGATCCCACTGGTGGAGCCCCCTTCCAAAATAAAAAGTTAACTTAAGGTGCATCTTTACTATACAGTGGGCCCTTGGATACCAAAATCTGTGGAAACTCAAGTCCCATTAAATACAGTGGCACAGTCCGATGGTGTTCCTTATATAAAATGGCAAAATCAAAGTTTGCTATTTAGAATTTGTTGTTTCAAAAAATATTTTTCAATCTGTGGATGCTTCAATCTGTGGATAAAGAATTTGTGGATACAGAGGGCCAATCGTAAAAATAGTGCAGTTTGACACCACTGTAAGTATCGTGCCTCCATCCTACAGAATCCTGGAGATTTGTAGTTTTGTGAGGCACTAGCACTCTTTGGCAGAGAATGCTTAAGACCTTGTAAAACTACAAATCCCAGGATTCCTTAGAATGGAGCTACAACACTTAAAAGTGGTGTCAAACTGAATTATTTCTACAGTGTAGATGCACCCTTGCAAGTCAGCTTCAAAAACGAGGCAATTTTTTAAAGCCAAAATATTCAGACAGGTTTTTATTATATAATAGCGAGGTAGCTTTTACATAGGATGTGTGTTATAGAGTATATGTGTTTTAGTTATGGCTTGCTTTTTGTTTTTAACGTATATAATTTTATACCACTTTTGTTTTGATGTTTGCAATTATTTTAAAACTTTTATTGTAAAATTTAAAAAATATTTTTATTTGTGAGCCACCTTGGGTGGGGAGAAAGGCAGCATAAAAATGGAATAAATAAATAAATAAATAAATACATAAAATTGGCGGCAGCTTAGAGTAATGGTTTGGATGTTGGACTAGGACTCTGGGAGACCAGAGTTTAAATTTCAGCTTGGCCATGTAAACCCACTGAGTGACCTTGGGCAAGTCACACTCTCTCAGCCTCAGGGGAAAGCAATGGCAAAACCCCTCTGAATAAATCTTGCCAAGAAAACCCTATGACCTTAGGGTCGCCATAAGCCTGAACTGACTGGAAGGCAATGAGCAGCATTTTTGTTTTAATTTTTAATTATTTTTCCCCTTTTTAAATATTTTCATCTGTGAGCTGCTTTGGGTCCCTTCTGGGAAAAATAAAATAAAATAAATAAAAGAAGATTTTTGTTTTTTTGTTTTTAGTATATTATTTTATTGTTTCATAGTGTGGTGTTTTATTGTTCACTTTTTATTGGATATGTTTTGATGTACCGCCCTTTGGTGGAGAGGGTGTTATAAATAAATGTTGTTATTGTTTATTAAATAAAATGAAATTTGAATAATTTATTATTGTTGATAGTTATTAAATACATTGACATTTTAACAATTTATTATTATTATTGTTGTTAATAAATAAAATGAAATGAAATTTTAACAATTTATTATTGCTATTGTTATTTATTAAATAAATAAAATGAAATTTTAATAATTTATTATTGTTATTAGTTATTAAATAAAATGAAATTTTAACAATTTATTGTTGTTGTTATTTATTAAATAAAACGAAATTTTAAGAATGTATCATTGTTGCTGTTGCTATTTAAAATGAAATTTTAAGAATTTGTTGTTATTATTTATTAAATAAACAAAATGAAAATTTAACAATTTATTATTGTTGTAATTAAATAAATAAAATGAAATTTTAACAATTTATTGTTATTTATTATAATGCAT